AACCACACTAAACTAACTTACCTGACCTGCTAAAAGATATATAGAGATCACGTAGCCCTATTGATGCACCACAAGAAAGAGCATTCAAACCAGCCTATTCAGTCATGAAAATGCTCATGTGCGTACTGCAATATCCTTTTTGGATCCCATAAAAGCGTGGCACAGCACCGTAGACACTGGCCTCGGAATCCAAGCACATCTGGATACCGAAGCGGAAGAATCAGACGCAACTCAATATTTCCAGCACGAGTGGTACGTATGCCCTGCATCAGCAGAAAAGGTGCAGAGAAGATATTGCATCATCCTTTCGAATGTCAGGCAGAGGCCGTAAGAGTTGCATGGGAAGAAGAATAGCACAGAATTATATCAGAAAAATTATAGGAATTGCTGCAGAGTCTGGCTTTGGTAAAGATCCTTTCGAGAATTATCGGAAACCTTGGGGTTGTGTGATGTCAAGACAGGACTACATATGTTTATAGGCTATAAATATTTGCAATGCCCTATTGTTGCATATCTATTGTTTTTTATTTTTTATTATAAACATAAATATTCAAAATAAATTCGCCTATAAGTATGCTAGCTTACAAGTCACCTCTAGTTTACCGAGATTGTTTTTTTCAATGAGGACAGTTATTTGGTACGGTGTGGTTCATGGTATTTTCTGTAGTCCACCCCAGTGGCGGTTGCGATTAAAACCAACGTAAGCCACCAAAAGCGAGCCACACAATAAAGGATAATTAAGTGTAACTCAAACAAGAGAGCGTGACCCTTGAAAAAAGAGTCACGACTAGAAAAAAATAAGGCGGTTAACATTCCCACGAGGGGGCTAGATGGGCACATCCAGCCATTTTAAGCTGCACATTTTTCTAAAATCGGTTTATCAGCGCGGGTGATCTAGTGGTTAGGATGTCTGCTTTACACGCAGAATATCGTGGGTTCAATCCCCGCTCCGCGTATAAGTTTTCATATCTGGTCGTGCACATTACCAAAAAAAACTAGGCCACACCGAGAATTGAACTCGGGACCCCTGGTTTACAAGACCAGTGCACTGCCACTGTGCTATGCGGCCGCAGTTCCCACCTTCAAAAAAAAAATAGATAGTTGTTAACCGAACGGTTTTTAAAATTTTTTCCTTCGGTTCGTTACAAGCCATTTAGACCAGGATCTCGTGGCGCAATGGAAGCGCATCAGACTTCGGATCTGAGGGTTGCAGGTTCGAGTCCTGCCGGGATCGCTTTTTCTCTTCTCCTCTTTTGTCGAGGAGAATTGAAAAGCGCACTCCGTGGGGATCGAACCCACGACCACACGGTTAAAAGCCGCGCGCTCTACCGACTGAGCTAGGAATGCTATGCCGTGCATACATTATGCATTCAATGTTTGCACATTTTTACGATATTGTTTTATTAAATGAGCAGTTCTTTTGGGTATCAATTGTCTGAGGTTAAGATCGTACTCTGAACAGAATCAGTTTATGAGTACAACCTCTTAATTGAAAACAAACCGAGTTTCAAGTCCTGATGATGACGGTTGCCTTTCTTCGCCCGGAGAGCGCTTCGATGAACGGCAGAAGAGGGTTCCAGAAGGATTCTTTTTTTCTGTCATATTCTCTGGTCACTTAAAATCACTAATAAGTTTTCGTGTTGAAAAGAAAAAGCGCTCTCCGTGGGGATCGAACCCACGACCACACGGTTAAGAGCCGTGCGCTCTACCAACTGAGCTAGGGGAGCCTTGACATCGAAATTGTATATTGTTGTTTAAATTTATTAGTCTAGATAATCACAAAATAATGCTGCCTGTAGGGCTTCCGTGGTCTAGTTGGTTAGGACGCTGGTCTTATGAACCGGATATCGCGGGTTCGAGCCCCGCCGGAAGCAGTCATTTTCCTTTTCGTTTTGTTTTCTTTCAATGTGAATTTTCTGCGTGTTAACGGGGGGGGTGATAGTCAAACTAAAAAGAAGACGAATCAGATAAATAAAATAGGACAGTTGCGCATGAACGCAATTTGGCTGCAGGTATAAGTAATTTATTTAGGAAACACTCTCGGTAGGGCTTAATTTTTATGGTTAAATTCGATCACTTTTCCATTTTTTATGCCTCAGGGTGAAACTAAGTCTTCTGCACAGACAGCCCCCCCCCCCCCCCACCCCCCACACACACACACATACACATCCCAGAGTCCTCTTAAGGAAGACCCTTCGTGCGACGCTGCTTGGGACGCGGAATTAACTGCAGCTTGTCTCTCTACGCCAGATGCGGCGGCTTGTACATAGAAACCTCCCGGAGAATATGCGAGAAACGTGTGCTAAGGGTCTCCTCAATCGTCTTTGGATCGCAGTCTTGTAGTGGCGGCAACACAACGATGGTACGCTCCTTATCTACGCTGTGCAAGGTTATATTGTTCACACCGCTCGCTGTGACACAGCCCTCGACTTCAAACCACTTTACATGTGCCGCATGCCGGAGGTCCAGCACCCCGCGCTCCCCTGGGGTATATTCATCACCATCAGCCCTGCCCAGATCCACCGCATACAGCGAGTTGAAAACGGAGGTCTTGTTGACCAGGTCTGCTGGTGCATCGGCCACAGAGTTGTATCCCATTTCCGCAAGCAAATTGAGAAGCAGCGTCCCGGTCATAAGCGCATCGTAGCCCGCTTCGTGGGCAGGGCCGGCTGCGGTGCCGCCGGACGAGCTGCGACGGGATAACGTCAGGAAAGTAAGGGGGTCGTACGACTGGAACCCCAGCGGCAAGCTCACCTTGACCTCCTGCGACTGCATTCCATAATTCTCAAAAAGGCTGCCCAGGTTTAGCTTTTTGAAGTACCCAAGGGGAAACCGATCCACGCGCGTCGCGATGTACTTCGTGTCCAGTACCGTCGGGAACAGTTCACTCACGCGCGCCTTCCACGATGGAAGTTCCTCCGGCAGCGCCCGATCCAGCGCGGCCATCAGAAAAAGCAAATCCATAAAGCAGTTGTGTCCCACACACGGCTTCCTGGACTTCACTAGCGCCTCAAATACAAGGCGGAACCCCAGCGAATTCAGCTCGTCGCAATCCTGAGTGGCCCGCTCCTTGGCGACTTTTGACTGAATTTCCTCCTCTGAAAAGACGCAGAGCGTACCGGCAAACATCTTGCCTTGACGACGGTACGTTACCGTCACACGCGGCAGGTGAGATTTCAGGTACGCCGTAAGGTACTCGCGTGCGCTCCTACTTGACTGGCACTCAAGAAGCACCTCGCGGCCGCCGGGAACCTCGACCTCTGAAGCGCTTTTGTTCATCATTTTCAGGCCACATACGCACTTAGTCGCTGCACCGCGCCCCGCCGCATCCGCTCGCTGTTGCAGCTCCTTGGCAGCCTTTATGGAGGCTTCGACCCACGATCTTTCCTCATCCGAAAACAAGTCGCCGTCCACACCCTTTTCCACGGCGACGGCGTTGGTGGTGCCCTCCCCGCGTTGTTCCTTCCAGTGGTCCCGCCACACGCGCGCCTGGTCCTCGTCGCAGTAGCCGATGCCTTCGTAAACCCACGACTGGAAGTCCATTCCATGACGCCGGAGAAACGCAAGAGCGGAAGAGCCCATCACAATATCAGTGCTGATGTTGCGGCCAAGTAGCGCGCCACCTGCCTCTTCCATCGACTGAGGGAATAGAACAAAGTTAAAGGGAGACGCTGTGTACTGTGCCACGTCTCCAACGGTGCCCGACCGATGGAAGAGGCAAAGGCCAATCTGAATAAGATTGTAATGGCTTGCCGCCATCCGTTTGCAGTGGTAGCTCTCCTCAGATGAAAAGGTGATCAGATCGGACACCTTCGGCATCCCGACGCCCGTCATCTCATTGTCGAAGGCATAGAAGTCGCAAGTTTCGAGCAGCCGTATGAAAAAAGGCAATGTTGCCGCGAAATTGTTGTACAAGACTTGCATCTTCGTTTTGTTTTCTTTTTTGTGGTTCTTCTTCTTTTGATATTATGTGCAATGACGCAGATATGCCTTTAGCCCTTAAATATGTTTTTTTTTAATGTCTATACAGTAAAGATAAATGATTTTTGGTGCTTCCAAGATCTGTTAGAGATTCTTAGCTAGCAAGTACAACTCCTACATTCAGTGAGATGATGATGATGATGGATCATTGATAATCAGTAGCTACATATAGCGAGGACCAAGTCTTATAGAAATAATTCAAAAATCTTTGAATTTTTTTGGTGTATTTGAGGAAGGAAAAGAGTCAGGTTTTACTCTGTACGGCAATTCTCCCTTTCCTTGGTTTTTACTCTTCCGCCTCCATTTACCCCACAGAATTACGCCACAAATGACCATTGCGCGGAGTGCTGTGTATGCAACGTGTCACTTTGCGCATCACCACTACCGTCCCTAGCAGAAAATCCAAGCGAGTAGTAGACATACACCTGGGATACGTAGGAGGAATGTAGGACATGCAGCAATTCCTCAGTCGCAACCGGAGAGCCGTAGCAGTCAATCACCACCGTCTCCGCGCACCTCCCAACAGATCCCCACCTACAGCCACGTGCCCCTCCTATAGCATCCCCACGCATATCCGTTCTATCAAGGGGTGTTTTCTGAGGGTCCTCGTCGCGCCGAAACGCTTCGTATACGTACTGTAGCGACTCGGGATTCAGTAAGTAACACAGCTGCGGGATAACCTCTACCACAAACTGAAAAGAGTAGGTCTCTTGGGGCTGCAGGAAAACCGGCGGACGGTCATCACTCGCTAGCATTGGCGTGATGGTAACAATTTTGGTGAGGACATCTATGGTCCGCAGGCTTGCACCAGATGGGCCCAGACGCTGCTCTGAGGAGCTGATGCTCACCACAGTTGGTTTTTGTGAGGGGCCTTCACCATTAGGGAGCGACTTCCCCGGCGTCTCATACGCCGGATTCCACACGTCACTGGCGTAGAGATCGAAAGTCGCACCATAGAAAGTGATTGGCGCACTCGAGGCATTTGTGATGCTCAAGTTCAGTAGTAGTCGGTCATTACTTAAAGGAAACGTGACCGACATCAAGTCTAACGCGCAGCGGACACGAATGGGTGAGTAGTGGCAACCAACTGGAAGGAAGTAGCCTCGCTCGCGGCCAAACAAGGCATCATTGTTGTCGCTATTCGAGTCCAGCAGAGATCGGAAAAGAACCTTCATAAGAATATATCTCGAGTTTCGTTGATGAAGCAACAACGGTGATGGGGAGTTTCGAGAACCAGGACTGTATTCGCTTTCACTGGTCAGAGACAACGCCGCAGCGTTGCGAATCCCGAAGGGCAGTATGAGAACAAACGCAAAGATGCCCGGTATATCCAGGAGTGCACGCTCGATCTCGGGCACCGTGAAATTAAAGATGTACTCGCTCACGATACTTTGCGGAATGGAGATTGCGGCGTCTGAGGTTTGGCTGTTAATAGGCACCGATGCCTCGATCGCAGAAAAAGCTGAGCACTGCACTTCCATCGCGCTGCTGGCTAGCCAGTATGAAGAACGTTGTCCCTCTCGCGCCGATTGAGCAAAATGGCGTTCTTCCCAGAAAGGAGGAGTACCAAAGTGGAATGCACCAGCGTCACCAGACGTAATGAGGCCCGCGTGAATTCCTTCATTCGCCTCCATACGAGGTATCAGGAAGGGCACTACGACAACCCACTCAAACAGCTTTTTCCAAACTTCCACAAAATTGTTCTCTCCAACATGAGAAAGAAAGTTCAGCAAAGTCGAGGGCGCTACTCCCTCAGAATCACCTCCTCCACAACGGGCTTCCGGATCACCAGTATCACACATGTTTTTAAAAGAAATGCGAAGGCGGACGCTTAGTAGTTGCCGGGGAACTAGATTATCAAGCTGCTTTTCAGTGGATGCACTCCAGTCTCCACTCACATGAGGGTTGCCAAAGTCGAGCGTTACATGGATAAGATTTTCGAGTAGATTCATTGTCTCGTCTGGCTAACCCTTTGTTGTAAAGCGCCGTCAGCTACCGTGCTCACGGCCTTCTGCACCGAATCTATGCTTGGGAAAAAAGAGGAAATGAAAAGAGGAAAGGGGCAACCTCTTGGTCGTAATAAGATATTGTCATCACATTTGGAAACAATAAACCAACCGCGCCATAAGCAGAAATTAAACTACATAAATGAATACATAAATAAATAAATAAATAAATATATATATATATATATATATATATATATATATATATATATATA